ATTTCATAAAATATTCTTTCATTAAGAACAGTGTTGTCCTTTAACCTAAGCAATTAATATTTTAGATTTATCATAATATCAGAGAATTGAAGCATTACAAACAATCGTAATTCGGTGTTAAAATGATAATGAATATTAGAAAAACCCATAAATTAATGCTTGGCGTTGGTAATCAAAAAGCCTTTTTACAGAATCTTGTCAGACTAGAACATAAAATCTCTCCACACCACAAGTCATGTAGTGAAGGCGACCACTGGTGATCACTAATGCTCCATGACGCAGTATCAGACTTGAAACTCATTCAGCTATAAGATATTCAGTTTCATACTTTATGCTTCATTACATCACAAATAATCCAATACGCGTGGTAGCGATGTAATGGATGTCGTATTAAGAAGACGGCCATCAAAACATTAATAATTTGTCAATTTCGAAACGAGTTGATAAAACCGACCCACATCAGCCAGCACGAGATATTCCAGAGAAGGTGTTGTTCCATAAGCCAACAATATGGCATGGTTGTTCAACTGGTCATAGTTCTGTATTGTAAGACTATATAATAAATGAAGATTTGTGAATGTGAAAAGAATGATCATTTTAGATAAGATCAACTAATATTTCTTGTCATCTGGTCTCTTATTTAAATCTCTTCAAGTGAAGACCAAAATGTACTGTAACTTTTTCTTGAACTACCGAATTTCAGAACACACATTCAATACTTATTTCAGTATATATGTAAAACATTAAAAAACTTGAAATTTAAATGTTATCAGCGCTTTGAACATGAACACTACTTACAAAGAATTAGCCTAACCTAAGAGAACTCATACAGCACAATTTTATAGCTACTTTAAAAATGATATTTGATTTTATAACATTTATATCAATTTATAAAATCTTTCGTCTACGTACCTGTTTTGTTTATTATTACTATTAAATTTACCTACCACTTATACTGCACATGTAAAGTAAAATGATAAATGCAAAAAGTAAATTGGAATAAAGAGAAGTTGGCACTCGGTAAAAGACAAGATTTTATCACCTTTGTTCATCAGTGCTACCGGTGTCTAGAGAAAGTTTTCAACGTGGAAATAGTTAATCTGGCATATGCCACGATATCTTTATTACTGCTAATTGACATCTTTTTCTTGGTGAATACATTTTGGGTGTTTTCTAAGTATTCAGATAGACTATGGTTTCAGTTAAATCATTAGAAATAAAGCGTTCGCATGTCAAGATTGCCAACACCATGCATGTCATAGAGATAAAACCTATCCTTGACTAACATATTTTCTACTAGAACGTGTGAATTACAAAATTTTCGGCTGAGTTTTGGGAAATTGCTTTTTTTTAATTTATTATGGGAGATAAAACATATCAATCCTCCAGCCTCAAAGATAAAAAATAAACGACAGTATACCATAGTACCTTAGCGGACAACTGTTATGTCCGGCCTGATCGGAAGTATAAAAACAATGTCATACAAAATCGGATATGTACGAGTAAAGAGTCATCCTGTACTATTGTCATATGTCTATAAGGTCGTGTGTCGTATTGAACTTAACATATCACAAGTACATTAAACTTTTGTTTAATACCAAATGAAAGGTAAACCATATAAAACCTATTTAAACAGATTTGTCAGTCAAACAAGTTTAATGAAAAACTTGATTAATACGAATATTGAAATGAAAAATAAACAAGAAAAGCATCAAATAGTGATTAGTAAGAAATCATCAAAGTTTTCAATTTACTCCAGATAAATGACTTGTAGGTATAATGTAAATTTAGTGGATTTATTTACCATTAGTGCCTACTAACTAGTTGTTTTGACTACTGAATTGGATTCACTTGATGATTTTCCGTGGTTTTACCATCTGGAAAGAAAGTCTAAACGAGCACGCGTTCTGTTTAAATTTGTATGAAGTTATGTATTGGTACTCAATTGGTAGAAAGTTGACGAAGAAAACAGGTGGCGAACTATCAAGAACCGCTGTTTCCTTCCCCCCTAATCACTGAGTTTTGACAAGTGCTTATCGGTGTTTTCTAATAATTCATGTCAATTTCAGTCTTCTGAAGCATGTCATGTACCATCTTCTAGTTTCTATTGTAGCATCAACATGTACACTTGTCAGTATCATCCTAATCAGACAATTGGGTACTTGCACCCCGGTTTCGGATTTTACTCTCTTTGATATCCGCCTTTTTATTTCAGTTCTCTTTTAAGGTAGATTTATTTTTGCCTTGGGGAAATAATACGGGCGTTTTGATTGTATATTAACTATTTCCATGCTCTTTCAATCTTATGTGCGTATCGAATTGTGATTTTTAAGTTTTTTGAATTTACAAGATTTAGAAAATTCAATTCCGTTTAGCACTTTCCATGTTTGACAAGAAGCTTCGACTGATTTTGAATCGGTTTTGGTCATTTTTCATATTGTGATATATAGCTTAATATATTATGTATTATTAGTTTAAGAATCTAAATATTCATGGACTATACATCTTGGCAAATTATACTACTATACTTATATTATTGTATTAAATATTGTGCACCATATTGTGCTATTGGAAATACCTTGATTTTGACTATTAGAATAGAAATTAGGTATATACTTAAATGAGTCAAAAGAAACTGCGTTTTATTTTTTTGTAAAAAATGTGTCATTTTCATGCAAATGCGTGGCTTAGCGCCATTCAGGATTATCGATTTGGTAACATAACAGTAGATGAAAAGAACAATAATGTGGGAATGTTCGTGATTGTGCATAAATATTTCAATCATAACTAGTCCATATACATACAACTATTGAATTATTTTCATTTTAAGTGCTAAAATGGATAGGTTGAGAAGGTAATAATGCAATATAAATATCATTATTTAGACACTTCGTCAAGTTATATTAACATAATTTCAGGCAAAACTATTATTTCAAAAAATTTCCACTTAAAAAAACACAACAGAACCCTATTTTCTATATAAATGTGAATGTTATTTCAAAGAAAATTTCATGCTCATTTTTCTATTAGGAAATATTAATTTATTATAAAAGTATATTTAAAAACAAAAGAAAATAGGATAGGGTATTGCATGGTCGTAATCTTGTGCGTCACAATTAAAGATTGAATATTATAACAATAAATTACTAAATATTTTTGCTGAAAATAATTATATTTCCGTTTATCTGGTGGCTAAAATTTATTAGTTTCCCCACACTTTCTACAAGTCCGTTACAAGAAAATCTCATACAATACCTTGTTGTTCAGATGTGGACACAAGGTCGTCAATACGGTCATAAATTTCTGAATCTTCCGTGGCATGTGATGGATGTCAAATCTACCGTAAAAATTCATTTTCGGTGGCAAGTAAAGCATCAATAGGGTCTTTAATCCGTTAGAAAGCAAATTAGTGAACAAATTACTTGATGGTGTAATACAAATGAACATGAAGTGCTTGGAAGTGTGTTAGATTATTATCAAGGTACATTTATTCTTTTTTAAACAAAAATAATGTTCTTGATGTCGATGGAATTAAATATTTAATTTTTTTTACTTATGATTTTATACATGTTTTCAGCAATTGATGTAATTCTAAATCTAATGATTTTTCTTTGAAAATAATTCGATATATTTTGTAAAAAAGAAAAATATCCAATTATATTTTTTCTGTTAACATTTCGATTATTTTGCCATGATAATATTCATGAAAATATTTTTCTGAAAAATTCTCTTGATAAATAAATATACAATTTACATGATTTTGTTTTGAATATTTATAAGAATTTTTAATGTATAAAATTTATTTCTATAAAGATATTCATAGCAATTTGATTTCCAAAAATATAGTATTTTATCATTCTAAATAATTATGGAAATTTTTGTCATGATTTTTGATAATCACTCTATATAATCAAGGAAAATGACCTATGATTAACATAGGTTTTTATTAATTTTGTTAGATATATATTCAATGAAATAAAGTAAATGTTAACAGAGAAGAGTAAATATTACAATTAATTGTGCTATTATCCGTTTCGTGATTTTATTGATTATTTTCCGTTCAATTTTTTTAAAATTGTAATTCATTTGCGAAAATATTGTGGTAAATTTGACATTTTATTAATTACCTTTTTATAGAAAGTTAAACAAATCCTATTCCTAATATTAAAATAAATCGATAGAATTATCACTATTTAATTACATCTTTTAATCATCTTTTTGATCCTATGGTGCTTTTAATGTCAATATTAGAAAGTTCTTTCGTTTAAAATCAACTAGGGAATATCCTAGAAAATATTAAAATCCAAATACATCGACCTCTTCGCCTAGACTATGTAGGGGCGGCGATTCATTGGGTTATATTGTATCACGTGACTTTTTCATTGGTTCATTTCAGAAGTGAAGTGCTGGCTGTGAAATTGTTCAAGCAATCATTGTAGTCATAATTCATCGGCTTGCTAGTGTAGTGAGGCCTCGCGACAGCTTTACGGCCGCTTATTATCCACACAAACAGCCTGATGAGCTCATATTTTGTTAATTCGCTCTCTGCATGTTATGGACAGACCCCAAGTTTGGAAAGTTGTTCGGATGGGGGATATGAACGGAATGGTAACTATGCAGGAGGTGTATACACAGGATATAGTGGACGGTATCCGTATGCGTCCCGTGGAGACAGGTTAACGGAACAGAATGGGGACTATTATGGAACACCTCGACTTACACATTTACCGAACAGTCCGTGTTCCTCACCCCCCTCATTACAGAGTGTGGGGGAGAGGACTCATATTGAGATGAGATCAAATTCGACGTCTAATAATCACACCAACAATAACAACACAAGTGGTTATTACGGTAGCGGACATTATTCAGATACAATTGATGAAAATAGACCTGACTCAGCACATTCAAATAGTCCCTCAACTCAAACCCCGACCCCTACAGATCGGGGACTTGTTCAGGATCAACAATGTCCTAGTCCGAGAGAAGGTGATTCGAACCCACCACACATATACCCATGGATGAGAAGAATGCAATATAGTGCAGGTAAGAATAAACAGAGCATTTATTGATTTTAAGCTTAAAGTTATAATTCTTTCATACGACTGTATAATATTATCCAAATTGTTTAGCATTTGATGATTTATTTAAAGTATTTGTAATATTTCTATACATGATATACTCCTTGTTATGTTTACGTGATACTTAGCTGTGTTATTAGATATCTAATCCAGCAGACCATTGGGATTTGTTTATATTTTTCTGTGTGACCCCATTTTTTCTATTCTTTCAATTCTTCCATATTTATTGATTTGTATAACGTGTGTATAACGTCTGCTTTTTATTGACTTATAATTCTAGTAATAACCTCATTTTAACCGACATGGTTGAAATTAAACTAGTTAGTCTTTAAAATCAAATAAAATTCTGCTGTCAGTAAGCTAGAGCCTGGGTCAACATTATACAATTTGAACTAAGCATAATCTGAATTTTATGAAAAAACAAAGTTTCTATAAAAGAAAATGTGTCCATTTTCCTTAAATATATAAATTGAACCATTTTTTAATTTTTCTTCAGCGAAGTACCTTTGAATAGTATAACATATTTTTTATATTAACAAATTTTAATAGTTTTCTAAATAATCAAATAATGACATCTTGGCGGTAGCACATGAAAGTAGCAGAAAAATGAAATTAAAAATAGGTTATGTTCCAGAAAAATATGTAGTTTATTATTTGCATATTTAATATTTTATTTTTGTTAATTGTACATACTTTAAATCAAAAGAGACAATGTTACGCCAATTACACTCGATATGAATAATTTAGATGTACAGCATAACAAATTTAGTCGGGGAAATTAGATCAGATTAGAAAAATATAAACACGTATATTATATGATTGAAAATATAGAAACTTTTGTAACTAATTTAAATAACACGTATCATATATATAAAAAACAGGAAAATGAATAGGTAAAAATATTACTAAATAAAGGTGCTTTTAAAAGCAATTAAAAGTAGTCAAATATATAGGAACATTTTTTAATTCATAACCTGTATTTGTTTTTGAAATAACAAGTAATATTCAGATAATATAACGTTATAACAGGAAAAGTATGTTTAACGAGGTTTTAATTTAACATGGATTCCAATTATATGCAATTCAGGCAGTTTTGTTATAGGAAATTCATTTATTACTTTAGCTGAGCTTCAGATATGAATGTTATTCACTTTGCTCTTACAAATGACCTAGACTGCGAAAAATCATTAATTTTTGAAAGTAGGAAATTGCAAGTATTGATTAAGGAATACTTTTACAATATTTATACTGAAGCCCCGAGGCAAAGTGAGTTAAATAAATAAAATAGCAAGAAGGTGCTAAATGTAGATTATTATTGAAAGATAATCTAAGAAGCTGATGTACATATTGTATCATACACGCTTACTCTTGCACGTTTATGTTATCTTTACAACGTAGGTGGCTATATGAATATATTCAATCATTTCAAATATATTTTCATATATACTGCAGACTGGTGAAAATACATTTTAATTTTGGCCACGCGTTCGATTGGAATTAACAGCGAGTTTCTACAGTAAAATATTATTGCTCATGTAAAAATTTCATTCTCTTCCAAATTTGAGAAATAATTGTTCTTAATAAACAGGAGACGAAATCGGGTTATCTAGAATTTTGCATTAAAGAAACAATGTTTAACAAAACTCCTTTAGTTCATTTGGAGTTTCAGGATGTATACCGAAATAAAGAGCTCAGTTTCTTAAATTTAAGATCTGTTTTTCGAACCTAAATGCTGGACAATAAAATTAGTTTTGAATCAAGTTTTTAAAATAGATATATTCATTGGTCTCTATGATAAAAAATATTAGATTGATAATGCTTCAAAGCTTCATTAGTTATACTTAATGTAGGGCGGAAACTTACTAAAGACGATGATTTTTTGGAAAAATTGGATGGTGGTCACAATCCAGGCATTGTTCAAACACGGAAACAGGACTAATTCATTAAATAAACCATTTAATATGTCAAAACCTTTATATTTTCTGAAAACAAAATTAAAACATTTGTAAATTTTCGAAATAGTTTTGCTTTTCCACAAAATGACAGATTTCCCAAACTGATTAATTGTAACCTTTCACTTACACGGTAAGTCACTTAGTTTTAACGGTTTGACTAAGTAGAAAATAAGGACAGGTTTGGCAAGGATAGACCAAGTCAACGAAAACATATGTTTTCCACTACGACATACTATTCTATTATGCTCATGCTCTATTTGAATTCAAACGTAACAAAAACCACAGGTGTACACTGGAGTTCTTGCTGGGAAGTTGACAAAGTGAATAAGAATATGATATATGTGTATTTTCTATTGTTTGTGAGATCAAAGTTGCCGATACACAGTCATGTACATGTAGGTAATATCTGTATAAGAAAAGAGGAATAGCATATAAATAATAATGAAATAGTTATTAGGTCAAAATGTATTTATCATTTAACAGGAGTCTTTCATAGAACACTTGTAAATCATTCATAAGAAATAATATCATTGATATATGATTGTAAATAAATTACCATTTACTACATTCAAATAGACAGTATATGTTAAAAGCATGAGATACAGGCTAGAAAAAAGATAAAATACGATTGAATATGCTTGTATCGCTTGATACATTACACAAAAAAATGAAAATATAAAATAATTAGACTATCGTTTCACTACAAATATAAGGGTTTATGCATAAAAGACATGTATTCAATGTATTAAAGTAGATATTGGTAATTTAAAGGCTAATTTCAGGTCGTGTATCAGACTCTATTTGATGACTATTTAACAATCAACCTTCGTTCATAAAACACTTCATAAATTTAGTGTTTTAAACTACCATTTGTCGTTAGAAATGAGCTGTTAACTCTTTTCATCTCGTAAGCTGTCCTCACATTTTATTTTATGATCTGCGGCAATCGTCTGAAGACCGTAAATTAAAGATCTTGTTAGCTGACGATATTTCCAAAAGAAATTAACTTTTATGTTATTTATATAGTTCTCTTGGTGGTGATTTGTTTAAATATCTTGATTAGTTTTATTTTATCAGCATTTCCTAAGGGTTTCGTCTCGAACTTTTTCAATTTCATGGTCTCTTCCCATCGAAAGAGCATAGAATATAAAGATTAAAAACTTCTATGTCTAGACTTCATATAAATACAAGTAATAAAAGTTCTAGGATAGAAGAACCTCTTTGCCTACTGTTATTTACCAGTGTTTTTTGTTAGTGATATTCAAAGTTTTGAATACTTCAATTGACAAATAATCAAGCATTAAATTAAATAAAATTCTTTATTTCGTTGAACCACACGTTCATCAGAAATTAAAAAAATACAGATGGGCATTTTACACTGAATAGAAAACCTAAACATATGAATACGTAAAACAGAATAAATATCAAGAAAATACCCCTATTTCTGTAAGTCAGTTAACAATTAATACTAAAATTTGAGAAGCCTGTTTCTTCTTCAAAACCCGCACTAGAAGCAAAGTGGTGTGATATGGCATTAGATTATTTAACTAAGACTGAGACAAATTTATTGTTTATCGTTTTTGACCGATCCAAATCACCTACCTTAGTTCTCTAAATAATGGCTAGTAAAATATATCCATATATGTAAGTATTTTTTGAAAATAATTCCTGAAAACGTTTTTTAGGGTTTAATCCTAAAGGTAGTTCAAAGTAAATCATCAGAATTTGATATTTCAAACAAGGAAACTCTTAACAATGGCGAAAACCCATTTACTTTGCTTTGATAAATACATAGTCCTACCAATATATAATTGCAAGGCAATTCTAGTTGATGGCAACATTGTCCATTCCACTTCTTATTTGTAATTAATATTCATTTCTAAAAATATAAGTAATGATTTACTAATACAATTTTCTCTCTTTTAAAATTTCGAAAAATTAACAAACAAATATGATAACATTGAGCAAGCAGTAATAATGAAAATTCGCCCTGATACTTAGTTATCAGACGGTACCTTCTGTGTTGACCTGGATTCCTTCATAGAAAACAGTAAATCATTCTTCGACGATAACCATTTATTATGTCTGGAACTAAGCCAGTGTATTAAAATTATTTAAATGAAAGTCTGGAAACTTTTTATCAAATATCCGCCACCTTCAAAAGTGAATTTCATTATTATTTAATCTGAAGTTCCTATTGTATATTATTCAATTATTACCACCTTTTTGTCTAATTAAGTTCCAACTCCTCATTTCTTTCATACGCAAAAATATTCTTCGCCATAAAAAATGATAAATGGTTTCCTTTTTTATTTGGCTTCGTTTTAAGAGTTTGAATTTAGATCAGATTATGGCACCTTTATATTTAACCTTTCAAATTATCTCCCTTGAAACAGACTCTTCTGTAATGTAGAATGTAACGACCCATCTTTTAAACAAATAGTGACATATATCAACTTAGAAATAAGAAAATAAGGAATCTTTCGAAAAAGGATTAATATGCATTATAATGATAATACCATTTGTACCCAGTCTTTGATTTAACGTCAATGTAATATGACTTATAAGATGAATATACGATACGATAATAAATACTTCAGGACAATGTGATTTTAACATTGAAAACTCTACTGGAAAGGAACACAGTATCATTTTCTTCTTCGTGCTACCAATCTGAATCAGTAATGTTTCTGGACCTCTATTGGGTGCATTGATGCCAACCTTAACTGTCCATATTATATCCTTCCATTGATATTTATTTTGACGTTGAAATCCAAGCTATATTCCATTTGAATGTTCTATCTAACTTTTCTATATTACAGCTATATGTAAATATCTTCTCCTGGCGTCTATTGTTAGTTTGAATTCAAACTTTACGTTAATCATTTGAATAGTTTTAGTATAAAATACGGGTCTCGTTAACATTTAACTCGAGTATTTCGCCTTAATACATTGTTGTGTAAGGACAGATTGAGACTTAAACTACGACAGGATGTTTGCCCAAGCTTTC